GACACAGACACAGATAGAGACAGACATACACAGACACAGACACAGATAGAGACAGACATACACAGACACAGACACAGATAGAGACAGACATACACAGGCACAGACACAGATAGAGACAGACATACACAGACACAGATAGAGACAGACATACACAGACACAGACACACACACTGTGGGAAAATGTTTCCCGCGTTTTCGGTGCTATTTGCCATACTGTAGGGCTCTTCTATTGAACTCACCTTGCACATCAACACGACGGACAGGCATCCTGATTGCACTCACTGCAGCTGTTCTCAGTAGCCACATGACTTGGCAATCGCAGGTAGAAATCTTACTTCTTATCTTGTTAAAACAAAATGCTTGACAATAGACCAGTTGGCCTGAGTTCAATCTACATGCTCCACGGTTATTTACTGAGTCAATTAAACATCACTCACCACTGTAGTAGCCAAGTAATAAAAATGCACTTGTTCGAGAACTTCTAAAAAAGGTTTTATTTCAGTACTTGTTTGTATGGCTTTTGCCCTGCACTGCCTAGGGTGTGTTCGAGGTTCACTGTAACCCTGTTCTGAATAAGCAATTGGAAGATTTTGAAAATATGGATGATCCACAGTAAAATTTCATCAGGAAATTGTGACAGGAGAGAAGTATATTTATATGATATGATATGTGTTCTGTAGCTGTGTGGCAGTGGGTCTAAGTGCTATAAAGGCAGAGAACCCACACTAATTATAACATGAAGAAGCATCGTCTCTTTAGCAGGTCTGCCCACTTCCTGATTCCTGGCCAGCCAGCTGACCTTTGACCCCCAGAGGCTTTTTTTTTTCTCCCTACTTGGGAGTTTTTGGTTCCTCTCCAGCTTTGTTATCTGGCTTTTTCTTTCTTTCTTTCTTTCTTTCTTTCTTTCTTTCTTTCTTTCTTTCTTTCTGTCTTTATTTATCCTCCCTTTTCCCTGCTTTTGTATTATTCCGTCTTACTTAAGTTGTAATGTATCACAACACATCCATGAAAAGCACCTCGGGGTGACTCTGTTGTGAAAGGCGCTATATAAAACTACACTGAATTGAATTGAATATATTTTGTAGCCATGAGGAATAACAATTTGCTTTTCCATATATGGGGCCAATGTTTTGGCCCAGATTGAAATAGAGCCCTTTGACTAGTGTGGTGTATTTTGACGGGTTTACCTATTTGTATGGCATGATGCTGACTGTCGGCTCTCAGTCTTTCATGTGTCACTGTTTGGTTTGGCTGGACAGATCTTTCTCCCCTGAGAAGAAGCCGTGATGGATTCTGTGGTGCTGAGCAGTTGCGGCGATTGACCCAAAACCTGCGACAGAGCGGTGATGCTCAGGTCAGACGTCACCTCTTCCCTGCCTCCTCCATGCCCCTTAAAGTAACCCCCAAGTGCCTGAAGCATTAATACACACCATGCATTTCTGCAATCTGCAATCCAGCAATGCTGATTAGTTACAGAGAGACTGGCTGGTTCAGAACAATGGGTGGGATATGTTGAGCAGTTCCTGAAAGCAAAAGAGATTCCTGTACCCCCGAAATTTCAATGTATTTCACAGATGCTATTTAGTTGCGTGTCTAACCCTTATCTGCCTTCACATCTAGATCCTGGATAACTATATAAATAAATATAGAAATTAAGCTGCAGTGCTATTGTCAATAATTACTTTGATAACATAAGAATCCGGATCTGTAAACAAAGGGCTGCATATTTCATAGACGTGCGAAGGCAGTTATTTTAGTCACTGAATGGTCATACATAACGTACAACTGGCGATAAGTTCTGCTGATTAGTTTAGCACAACCTGCCAGGCCGCGTCTTTGTTCTGCCACCTCTCTGCATGATGACCAAAGCCCTTCCTGGGACATTCTGGATAATGCTCAGGGATGCTAATATTGTTCGAGATCCAGGGGGAGCCTCTGTCGAGGTCAAGAAGGACGGTGGACCACTCCAAAACCAGCTGTCACCTCCACCTCCATGCTGACCACCTCTTCTTTAAGAAGTTTGGGAGTGTCCAAGCTGTGGTTGCCCAGGTGACGTTTTTCTTTATCTAGGCTGCAAAAAACCCCGTCGCTTTCCTGAATGTCCCCCCTTCACTTCATGTTTCACTGATGATTGGCTCCAGTGGTGCAGCTGAGTTCACGCACTGCGAGAGTTACAGAAAATCCTTATCTCCAGTGGTGCAGGTGAGTTCACGCACTGCGAGAGTTACAGAAAATCCTTATCAGGTCCCGACCTTACACTTTCCTTTGCTGTTCAAAATATGTGTGTGTGTGTATATACATTTTTTTTCTTTTTCTTTTGGG